GTGGCCTTTGGAGAAAATTAAAGGGACCCATTCCTCCTGCCACTGATAAATTCGAGAGAAAACAAAGGCTTTCACTGCCTCCTTCCAACAAGTCTACTATGCCAACTGAGCAGAAAATCAGCACCAGAGCAGAGGGAGCTGCCAGTGCCGGTTCAGCCTCAGCGCACACCTTCTGTTACGGAGAAGCAGGAGAAAGGGGCGAGTTCCTTCTCTGAAGGCACCCGTTCGTTTGTTCACCCCTTCGCTGACCCCCTGCACTGCGCTGGGCACACCGCAGGTTGCTAAAGCAGCAAATAAAATAACTAGAAAAAGTTAACTATCAGCTCACCGTCCATGTCAGGGAGTCATGCTCACTAACTAACAGATTTTTTAGAGAGATGACCCTGCAGGTGAGCAAAAAAAATAATATATATCAAGACATAAAAGAGGGGGTTGAAGAACCACCGTTATGGATAAGTGAAAAATTGGAAGTGAACATCTGCAGAATACCAAGGCAGGTGGGCTGGGGAGAGGAGAGACAAAAGGAAGTAAGGAAATGACAAGGTAAGTTAGTGTGGATGTATTAAGCACAGAACATGAAGTGAGACTAGGAAGAAGAGAAGGAATAAGCATCTGCAGAAATGCTTGAAGGTCCATCCCAGCATTATTACACTACACACACCTATTCAGCGTCAGGAATACGAGGACACCGTGAGCAACTTATCATTCATTGCTCCATAGGGAAGAAGAGATGAAACGTTTTTACTCTGAACTAAAGGTGAAAAGCGTTCAAATTCCATAAGAAACTGCTAGGCTATATAATGAGTAGATTTGAAGCTACTTAGAGGAAACAGCATCAGAGAAGGATGTTCATCACCCTGGGCAGGCCACACAAATTAAGAGAAAGTAGAGCTGTGAATTACAATGAACAGAGACTAAATAGCTGCCTGTGTTGGATTAAAGGATTTAAATTGTCAGCTTGATGTATAATGAATGTGAAAACCCAGCACTTAATTAAATGGCACATGATAGAATAACTTTGTTATGCTTTAAACTGCTTAAGTTATCAAAGTATTCCTTATATTTAGCAATTGTTTAGCAGTATCTCTCTCCCTTGTGAGATCCACTAAGACACTGGTCATTTACTCTGCGTTCAGCTCTGGTGAAATATGGAAAAAAATTTTTTTTTCCCCTCCTTTTTTTGTTGTTCTGTAATTTGAGTTTTCAATCACGGCTAGTGAATTTCTAGCAACACAGTCACCAAATGCTGCTGAGACACAATGATGGGCTACCAGGTGCTGCAAGGATCGCACTGTCAACACCATGCTACCAAACCAAACAGACATTAGGGACTGATAGTTCTTCCTAGATCGCAGACCAGCTCCCTGCTTGCCACCCCTAAAATGACCATAAGGGCTTCAGCCGTGCCTGCTCACCTGTGAAGGGTCCCAGCACAGGGGCAAGAGAGCAGCCTGTGCCCAGGCAGCCTTTGTCAGGCCTGCCCTGTGCCAAATAAAAACTTCAGCCCCCTCCTTATCTGCCTTAAGGAGTACATCTGCCACAGGGGAAGACAGAAAATGTGTTCTGCCATTGCATTCTGATAACAGGAACTGACTTAATTTTTCAACCTGGGAAGCAAATCTAATTGAGTTCCTTTGTACAGAATGAGGACAGTTCAAATGGAAATTACACAGGAGAATCAGCAGATAAGGGATCACCATAAGGGCTAGGATGGGGCTTCTGAATCCCTTTTTAAAGGGATCATACAGCACAGAAAGACTTACAGGCTAAATAAAGACAATTAAGAGGACTGCTCCATCCTACAAGGGCTGATACGAAGGAACATGACCACACAGTTCTCCAGCAAATTCATTATTTTCTTTCTTACGCCATTCAATTTATCACACCCTTTTACATTTCTTGAGCCTCTGGCAACTCATGTGTTGGTCATTCAAAAGGAAGGCTTCCTTAACCCACAGGATGGTGGGTTAGATAGGAAAAGGCACAGCCTTTCACACAGGCGCAACGAGGACACGGATCCCGGAGACGACTCAGCGTACCAAGGAGGCATGGGCACGCTCAAATCAGAGACGCACTACATGCATAATCAAAAACTGAAAGACAAAAAGAAAGAAAGTACTTACAGCTACTGCTATTCTTCCGAGTACATGTTCTGGAATTTTTCTATAAACATCCAAAGAACCCCCTGCAGGGACAAACAAAATGTGCTTAGGTAATACAAAATGAAATACTGCCCTAGATTTGAAGTCACAAGGGTTTTCTAGGCCTTGGTTATTAATAAAAAAACCATCAATGATATAACAATAACTGTGTCAGAAATAACTGACCTTAAAAATCTACCAAACTCTGAATAAACACATGAAACAGTACTTGTGTCTCTTTTCACCCACATTACTTATTTTTGCTTGCAGCATTAATACTCAAACTCCTGCTAGAAAACCTCCCAGTCACAGGACGGAAAATCAAAATCAGAGAACTCAAAACCACCAGGTTTGGAGTAACTTCTCAGGAATAACAAAGTCATCCCCAAAAGCAACAGTGAACTTCAAAGTCCAAAGTATCCTAACCCTTGTCCCCAAAACCTGGCGCGAACACTACATGGTATCCAATACAATGCTTCTCTACATGCTCAAAGTTGTTTCCTCCCGATGATCAAACCAGTGAAAGTCGGGTTGAGCGTTGCAGTCTGTGTCCACAATGATGTCTGAAAATGAAAGACAAGGAGCTCCCAGGCAAGCAGATGAGTTTTGCCAGTAAACTCGCTATCTGGCATAACCCAGTCCAGCCAGCACCAGACATTCATGGGAAAAGCGAGAAGCCTAAGTCCCTCTAAGGGCTCTACAGACATTCCCAAGGGACTGGGAAGGACTGCCGCCCTCGTCTTCTGCAAAGGAGATTCATTACCAAAGCACTGTTCAAAACGTCCCTGGGGTGAAATACAAATTCTTGGGCAAAAAAGTAAATTTAAAATTGAGAATCAAAAATATCCAAGTAGAATGGGAAAAAAAAAAAAAAGAACCATCAAATTACAGGCAGAGCACATTACCGTTAGCTTGCAAGAGCATGTTGTCTTATTCAAGGCTTGAGGTTTTCAGAAGTGCTCAGCACTGATCTAACTCTGCTCTCAGTGTAGCATATAGATTTTACTGATGACACCACTGGGAAAAGAGTTAGGCCAATACTCAGCAATTAAGAAAACTACACCTTATACTTTACTTATGGTTCAGTTTTTAAAAGTAAAATGCATTCATTCTGAAACGCTGCCATCCAAAGAAGTCACAAGGTCCTTATTCCAGTCTTCAGCTTTAATTATGCAATAGTTCTTATTTATACTATACTTCTTATTCTAAAGATTGGGGTTTTGTGGTGTTGGTTTTTTCTTTCCCCTCATTTTCCTCATCATCTCTACAGCCAGAAATACAGTATAAGTTTGCCTTCTGTAATGTTGCTCTGATTCCAGGTCATTGAAACTACTATTCGGTCAATAAAACTAATCTTTCAACTTATATTATCCACATTGCCTGTGGATTACAATGAATCTCAGTTTTAAAAGTAAATGTAAGTACTATTTAATGGAAATAAGAGGATGTAGCATCACAGATACCTACCGCTCATTACAAAAGCCAAACAGAGGGCAATCATATGGCAGGTGGTTCCTGTTAAAGCTTATAACATATCCTTAAATTTTGGACAAATAAAAGACCTATTTTCATACACCAAACTGCTAGGTTTCGCTATTAGAGACATCACAAAAGGTAGTGCTGTTTGAAAAATGAAGGAGAGTATCTTTTTGCAAACAATTGAGGCAATCTGCCACTTTTTTTAATGGAGAAAAAAACCTGTAGTGGACAACATATCCAAATCCAAATAATGTTAGCTCCCATATTTATGTGCAGACATCTAGGTACAGTGTGATAACCTGCACGTCTCGCTGCTTTTAAGGGGAATTTAGCGGGTGTTCAGCAGTTTGAAGGAAAAGAGGCAACAACATAAGTAAAAGGCAATAGTGCATTTCACCGTCTTTATTTAGAACATCATCTTTATTATAAATATAAAAAGGCAAAGATCAGGAAGCCTCATTTCACATCTCTGTTGCACTTTAAGATCAGTTGGCAGGTGGGAGGGTGATCCACGTCAGTTCAACCTCAGTGTTTTGATATTTGCAGACTTGGGAGTCTGCAATACGGTGGTATTGTATAGCACCGACATGGTACTATCTGTGCACCTTTTCCCTATGTGTATCCCTAAGACATGAGTATCTCAAAAGACGCAGATCCACCCATATCCAGGTAATTCATAAAGGAAATACCTATGTTTTGTAATATGGTACAAGATACAACTGGGCAAACAGAGTCATGGGATATGGATTCAGGAAATATTATAAACTGGCCAAAGAGAATCAAAAGGGCTAAAAAATTTGTCAAGGTTAAAGTTGTCCATCTGCAGGAGAAGAAAGTATTTTTTCTTATCTTTACCTGCATTCTTACGCATCAAAATCAAAGGTTTGAGAAAAAAAAAAAAGGCAAGGTCCCTTTATTTGCATTTTGTTCTTCCTTTAAACGATTGCTGTTGCTTTCCGCCAGAAGGAGCGCACAACATGAGGCAGACCAGAGGTCATTCTCCAGTATAATTCCAAGTAATTTGGGCATGGTCAGTAAACACCATCGTTGTGCCACATCATGAGGAATGCATACCCTAAAGGCTTAAATATTTTCAAACAAGAATTCAGAACTGCCAGCATTTATGTCTGTCATTTTTAAAACTCTCTGAATTAGTAGGAGCATACATACTCCAGGCAGATGCATGTTTTGGCATGAGCAGATGCTTCCCTACTGCATGTGACTGTTGCTTAATACAGGCTTGCAAGTCTGCGTGCAACTGCAGGGACAGAACAGAGAAATAGCTAATAGCCACACAGCATGAGAACAGCAAAGAATTTAACCTGTGGGCTTTGCTGAATAAATGTAATACTTTCTCATCAAATATGGAAAATCTGAGAGAATACTCATACTTGGAAATGGGACACAGTGATCACTGGGACAGAGGCAGTAAGTGTAAAAAGAGAGAAGTAACAGTAGTAACAGATCATTTTAACAGGGAGAAAACAAAATGCACCATAAAACCCTAAAGGGCTTTATCCGTGGTCCCTATCAGAAAGAAAGAAGCTACTCAATGATGCTTAATGGTACACAATTGGCTTTGGAAATTTTTCCTGCCAGAAAGCCTTCCCTCCACAGTAAATTATTTGCGAGATCCTTACTTCTTTATATCCAGCTTAACAGGTTTTTCCTTTGTGAAAAATCTGGATAGGGCATAAAATGCTGGCTCAGAAGAAAATCCTGGAGAGAGTAAGAGACTATTGCTTGTAACAACAACGTGAAGTTAAAAGTTGAATGCGGCGAAGAGGGTTCTTGTGCACGAGACAAGGGGACTGCATCTGTCATGAGACACGCTCTCAGAACTGATACACAGAGGGCAGCAATCATCATAAATTGCTGTAATCAGTATACTTTTCCTGCCTCTTCTCCCGGAATGCTACGTAGCACAAGATTTCAAAGCAAAGTACTAATACATCTCCATAATGACGGTAGCATCAGATTGTGGGGAAGGGGATACTGTTGGTCTGAAGAGTCACATTGGGAGAAACAAGAGTACACTCAAAAAGAAACTCAGCGCAGCACTGCTAAACAGCTGTGTTAGAAAATAATTCCTTGCCTTGCAATTAAGAGACAATTTCCCCTGAAAACACATAGGACATTGGGTTAATAGATTTCTTTAAAAGAAAATCTGTTTTGGCTATCAAAACAGTAAAAGTGAGGAACAGCTGTTTTTGTCAGCGAGGACAGATTGTATAGAAGACTCAAATATCAAACCACAAATTAAGCTAGCGTTTATTTCTGTTCTATTTACATTTTCAATAAAAGTAAGCGAAGTTACACTCAGGAAAACACAGCATATCATGGAGAATATAACACAATCCCAATACTAACCTGTTTTTTTAAAAAAACTACCTGCAAAGTTCTTAATACTTAACTTTACATTTTCAAGTCATAGTACTGCATTTTGCTCCATTCTGGAAGAGCACATCTTTATATGATCTTCCCCTTTACGTGCTTAGCAATCAAAAGCACACTAGATACACAACTCACCATCCATGAACTCTGTACACAATGAAATTCTGTTTTCTACAAAAAAAGCACCATAAAATCCTATGATATATGATGAGTCACACTGGAAAAAGAAAGGAAAAAAGAGAAGCCGGTTTTAAAATTTGCTGTAAGAAGTTTCTAAGCAAGAATAATGAAAATGAGAAACTCTATATACCTTATAAAGAATTTCTAACTCCGACATTATCTGCTTCTGGAGTTCCAGTGTTATATCTAAGGGTATGACCTAAAATACAAAAAAAACCCAGACATATGATCAGAGTTGACATAAAAAGTGAATGATTCAAAATAAAAAACTGAAGATCCACATATTAATTATCCTTATGTGAGAAAAGCAAAGAGAGGAATAGGTGGAAAGAATATTTTACTAGAGTGCCAAGCAAAGTAAGGAAAGGGAAACGAAAGGACGGACTTATTTACTTTTAAAAGTCAGTTACAACTAAACTAAGTTAAACAGCCAGTTTTACCCATGAAATGTCATAAGGTTTGCAGTTAAACCACTTGACCAAGAGATGAGTCAGAACTTGAACACAAGCCCCACACATAAATGTAAAGACCAGGCGCAGCAGATCTGCAGGTCTGCAAACTCAGAGCTGCTGCTTATTCAGCCAAAGTGCCATCACCTCCCAGCTCCTGCCTGGTACAGCCTCCTCCTCCTCTGCTCAGCACCCATCCTTCTCGCTGCAAAGACGTCTTGTGAAAAAGCCTGGAAGGCTCCGATCCCGGCAGGCCTGGCCGAATGTGCCGATGTTACCTCTAAGGGCTAAATCAGTACTGTAGTATTGAAAGTATCTCTGAATGTCCCAGCGGTGCCCTAAAGGAGTCTCTCTTAACACCACTCCTACAGTTCCAATTTCTTTAATAGTTACCCCCTCTTTAATATAAATTCCTAACATTGTATGAAACATGGGAAACTCTTAAATATACAGAAACAATGCGGATGACAGCAGATGGTACAGATGCTTAGGTAAGCATCACCAAAGCATTCAGGATTTTCAAGACAGACCCTCTCAATAAGGATGCTGGTTCCAACAGAACCAGCACTGAAAGTCAACTTTAACAAATAATCCATTGCCATGATTGTTTGAATACTCGCACACTCAATTATTAAGTACTACTGTAAAAACCAAAATGCATTTAGACAGGTCCAGTCTGCTACCACACAATATTTCACAGTTTAATACCTTAAGCTACAAGGAAACAAAATCCAGTCAATTTGCAGAATTAGCAGAATAGATATTACAGGCTGCATATACTGCTGACGAAACAAAATACAGAGAGACCATTTCCAAACACAGGCATTTTACAGTATCAAAATCTGTCTAAAAGAAAAAACGATAACCTGTTTCTATCAAGAGTTTGCTTTAGGGTTATTTATAAAAGCTGTCACTAAACTAAATTGTAAGTGTAATACAGGGCTGCCAAGAAATGTTTAACACACTTGTCTAGATCAATAATCATTTGCCAACAATATTCACTTACATTTTTACAGTGTGAAAAGCTTAAAATAATTTGCTGGAATACAATCAGTTTTACCCACTGAATATTAACATAATTTAATCTTGTCAACAGTATAAAATTAAAATTTTATCTCACTAAATTCTACTCACAGTGAGAAATTTCCCTGCCCCATTCACTGTGAAGGCTTCACCGACCCCAACGACGACTAGTTAGCATGATCAGCGTCAAATACATCGCTGACACCCACCCAACCAAGACCTGCCATGAAGAAAGGTCTCTGGCTGATTTGCATTAACTATAATTACTTACAGACCCTGCATTCTAATAGTGAGGATAACCTGGAAAAGCAGAGCTACCCTATTTACAAGTCTCCAGGATACTACAGGGTAGGGCACGTACAGATTGCACTGCAATGGTACAATGGGAAGCATATATCACGACCAAATAAATTAGGAGAGACCACTGGCTCACTTGCTCTATGTAACTATTGTATGGGAGCATTTTCTTCCATGTAAACACGTGTGGCTTGTGTGACTTGCAACATAGGAAAGACACCCATCCGATGTCAAGGTAGGAGCAACCTTATGTTGTTTACAGCACTGAAATGTGGGACAGAAAGAGGGAAAAAAAAAAAAATCTATATACAAATGCAGATTAAGGCAGTGCTAATCTCCATGGTCATACTCCCTTTGTGTAACATTTCCAAGCCTATTTAGAAACTGAAGTTTGTATGGGTGAAATGACTTTTAAGAATATGTGAGCCAACAGTGTCAAGCATGGGCTGGAACAGTGTTAAAGCAAAAAAACCAAACCAAACCAAACCAAACAAACCCCAAAAACCTCCTCAAACCCATTGCTACCAAGGAAGAATCTGTGAATAAGAATTTGGCTGCAACTTCCACAACTGTAACACAGGTAAGCGAACGAGATGTAATAAACTTTTCCAAAATGGCACCTTTGGAAAGAACTTTGTAGCAAAAATCACTGTTATTTTACCAGAATTATTGACAGCAGAAAAGTAAAACCCAGTTTATCTGGTATAAAATAACATGCACTGTTCAATACACGCAGGAGAAGAATTTCTTAGTAAGTTTGCATCAGAAGCTACAACAAAAGGCCGTGGAACAGACGAGCTCAGGTTGCCGCTGATCAGCGGTCCCCAGCCACCCACGCCTGCCGAGGGGTAACTGAGCCCTGGGGATGCGGATGAAGAGGACCGGTCTAGAGATGGGGCCAAAGGCAACCTGGGCTGGCTGGGGAAGAGGGGCTGGCAGCTGAGCTCTGAGCTCCCCTGCCTGCCCTGATTTCAAAACTAGTCAAAATGGTGCCTCACGGGTAAAGCTGGAGGATATTAGACCAGGGAGGTATTTTTTTAAATTTAAATGACATGGCAGTCCTCTGGGATTCAGCAAGGGGCTCCAAGCACTCCTGCACATCTTCCTTATCAAGTTCCTGCCTAAAATACAGCAATCGTGAAATCACTTAGCACGCTTGTAATGCACATGAACTCAACATACCTAGCGTTTCAAGTGAAAAGGGTTAATTTTTAAAAGAGGAATACCTGAGCATATTTCCTCTGCTCTCCACTACACCTCCAGGACAAATAAGGATGAGTTGTCAAGTTAAATACAAGCAGTCAAGTGACTGAATTATAATTTACTCTGTGCTCAATTTAAATTAGTGTGAGGCTATTAAAATATACAGTATAAATACGGCAATTCATCACAAGCTGTCATGGATGACTTCATCTATTTGCTGGAGTGGCATACGTTCCACTAAAGGGAACGAGAGCAAAATCACAGGTCAAATTAAGCTGCTATTCTGTTTTAATTCACTTATTTAATCTGTGGTGACATAATTGTCTTTTACAGTATGTACAACTCAAAGGAAATTTGGGAGTATTATAGTCAGTATACAAATGATTAATCAAATGGTCCATTTAAATGCTAACTTAAGAGCAGGAGAAACTAAAAGCAGTTGAAGAATGGCAATCAGCCAGTGTACGCTCAGATTTTTCATTCAGATTTTTCCCTCTAATTAGAAAAAAAGTTACCTTTGAAAAAATCTATTAAATCCTCTGCACGTTATCTAGCTGTAAAGTTTACATAAAATCCCTAACGACATAGCTATGGTCTATAACATAGGTACTAGCATTGGTTTGCTTTCCTGTCCAATATCTTTGCAAGATTATCTACCAGCTGAAAGCATTTTAATCAACAGGTTTTCAGAACATTATCTTGTCCTACCAAATCTGTATATTATCACCAAAAAAAGCCCCCAAAATGCAGAACTCCGCTCTCAAAGATCCATTCAGTGGTGGTCCTATCAGCGTGGTAATCCTCTGTCAAAACACTTGATACGTGAGATGATCATGTCAAGATGCTGGCATTCTCATCCTTTTTTTTTATTGCTGGGTATGCTGAGTCATAGATGTGTTAAGGAGTTTTCTTAGTGGAGCAAGCCAGCATGATCACTATCATAGCAGGTTTCCCGACCTCCAGCTTATGAGTGTGTTATTTTAAACTATGATAACACACACACGGCGATGCAGCATCTCTTCCGAAATCACACCAAAAGAATACAATTGCGAGTGACAGGACCACCACGAGCAGTATCTACAAGAGAACCCAGTTTCCTAAATCTTCACGATGCTAATTATCCACGAGGACTACCCAAACCCATGGACTCTAAGGGAAACAAGGAGGTGAAATTGCTGGGGGAAAAGGCTTTTTGCCACAGGGAGGTGATTTCAATTAACCTTGCAAAGGGTGAACTCATTTCCCCTCCTGCCTGTGCGATTTTTCTCTTGCTCCACCTCCTCTCCAGACAATTTCTGAGGGCACCCACAGCCCCACCGCAGAGCGGGGCAGGCTGGCGAGCAGCAATGCCAGCGCCAAGCAGAGCTGGCACAGAAGATGCTCCCTGTAGAGCTTGAAAAAAAGATTATTTGAGGAGGCAATGCAGTAGGTACCAAGGAAAAGCGGCATCCTCACACACCCCAGCATTTAGGGGAAAAGCTTTTTTAGTTCCACGTTGAAAGCTGTAATAAAAAATACTTTTGAATATTAAATTTTCTGTACTTCTGTGCCTATTGCAACTCAGAGAATTCCTGTCTTACTCTAACTGCTTAAGACAGGTTTAGGAATGACGGACATCACTTGAAAGGACTTTTTCAAAGTGACTTTTTCAAAAACTTTCTCAAGTGATATTTGTATCCCATATAATTACAAGTTGTTTGGATGTTATTTCAATTTCCACATTTTCCAGATGTAGAGAATCATTTCAAATCCAGCAGTAAGCATTTGTTGTTCTCCCAGGAGGGTGAAGGGATTTATTTATGTGATCCTCAGGAAAGCCAAAACATGGGCAGAATCTCATTTTTGTAAATCACAAGACAAACTGAGCCCAAATCTGAAAGTTACCCATACATGTAAATATTGCTTGGTAAACAGAAATGCTTCATTTGAAGTATTAGTATAATCTTGTACCTTTAAATTCCATTTAACACCAATTCCACTTGCAGCAACCAGCTCCTATCACTCCTTCTCTTGCCCTCCTCTCCCACCTCCACATCCTTTCTGTTTAACTCAGTTACATCAGTATTTAATGATTGAATAAAGACAGCAAAACAAAAGAAATGAGACAAAAAGTCCATTTTACAGTTTTCTAAGTATACATTATATTTTTGAAATATACCTTTTTTTTTAGATTTATTAAACTACTAATTGGAATTGTATGAATGCAACAACTAATTTGTTTTCCAAAAGTCTCTACTGCTTTGAGTTTTAACAAAATCACCAAATTAAAAGAGTTTGATGTATTAAAAAAGGACATATTTCAATATTTTGTGTATAGATTATCTGTATTAATAATTTAATTTACAAATTTAATTTAATTTAACACAAGGGTTGGTATAGTGTTTACCACAGCTTTAACTGAACTTTCAGACAAGACTGGTATTTATCTGACCACTCAACACTACAGTATGCAGCTTCACTGCAAAGAATGCCAACAAAAAAAAAAAAGCAGCCAAATCAAGCAGAAAAAAAAAACAAACAATCGAGGAGGAGGACATTAAAATAAATCTGTTACAACCACAAAAATCTCCTAGGAAAAGAGAGTATTATCCCAAAGAAAACAGGGAGATTCGAGGCACAAAGCACAACTCCACTTGGACATATCCGCGTAACCCCATGGGAAGACATGGTGGTACCTACACACAGTTCCAGGCAATTCCTGGTGGACAAAACCTGGATTCTGGGAACTCTGTGCTCATTTGGAATTACTAAATTTATGGGCTGGAGTTATCCTGCATAAACAATGTGGGCTTTAATGCAAAAAAACCAAATTGAGCTCTAACAATCAGAGGAAGGGGAAGGAAACCAAGGTCAAGAAAAAATGGGGAGAAAGAAAGAGAGAAAGAAAATTACTGTAATATCTTACCTTTACTGCTAGTATTTTTCCACTAGGGACATGATATGCCCTGTGTGAGGGGAAAAAAATTAAATAACTTCAGATCACATAAAATTACCCCTATACATGTGCAACATGTATACACTAATTTCACAGAAAAATGACTAGGAGCTAATATGTTTTACGTTAAACCGATTTTATATAGCATTTCTAAAGAAAGACTGATGAAAACAATTGATCAAAAGAATATACTTACAATGAAACCAGTTAGCAGGTTTTTACATCTGCATGTTTTATATAAAGTCTATACACTGAAGACTTTCATACAGCATAATACCGAATTTGTAAGTATGAATTCAGCCACTTTCACATTTTTTTCAATGAAATAAAATTATAATATCTCTATTATTCAGAATCTTCACGTAAAACAAGGTTTATCACACAAGTTTGCCAGTCCTACGGATATTTTCAGTGGTAAGACAGTGGGAGACAAAGCCATATCAAAAGTGAAGTAAAACAGGTAACGACTGATTCTTTATCATAACCTGAGGACCCACAGAAAATACTAGCGAAATTACCTTTCTGCATTTGTGTTTAAGATTCGCATGTGTGTGCGCATATAAGGTTAGAAAGCATTATTGTTAATGCTCACATGTACCCAAATCATTTTCCACAGTATTTCAAGAGCAGTTTGTCTTAATTTCTGAAGACAAACATTTATAATTGGCTACTTAACAATGACTTGTGTATTCCTAACCACAACCTTGTAAGAAAATAGAGGCAGGTGAAAAAAAAAAGTCTACTAAAAATCCAATGTAATTTTGCATAAAAAGAAAACCATTAAAGGTTTTCCTCTTCACTAGTTTTATTGTCTCATACTGATTTATGACACTATGCACAGTAATGTCATATATGTAGCACTAACTTTAAAGAATTACAATATTTTACCACTATATACCTCTAGCAATTATTACTGAAAAAGAACAGCTTTAACAGGTTTTTTTGCATGCAAAACCATACACAGTACAGGGCGAGACTGTTGTTTAATCTTATTTATAACCCTGAGTGCTTATATAATCTCTGTTAATAACTCAGAAGTTTCTAAAAACTTCATCTTAATTTAATAACTCATGGATAAACGCTTCTGTAACCAAGTGACATTAGCCTGTAGGAACAAACAGGGTTTAAAGAGGCATACCAAAAATCAGTGTTATTTAATATCAGTACAACACGCAAAGAGCAAAATCATCAGACGAAGCTCTGACAGACCGGTAGCCGAATGCACAAGCAATGAATCCCATGGAGTAAATGAACTCTGCTGTAACTATGGATGAATCAACAGTGGCAAAACATTATGGACTTAAGATCAGCAGAAATGATAAGAAAATGAACAGGTTGAGATAGCATGCTTAACGTCTGTTAGCTTAATATGTACTGTGCCGGACAGTTTGGCAACTTAATTAGCTTGTCAAGAAAGCTGATCTTTTTTCCATAAGAGAGATCTCCTGTTTCCAAGTGAATTAAAAGGGAAGACTTGATTATTTAATTATGATGCACGCTAATTCATCCGTGGAAGTTTGGGTTAAATTTCCAGCAGAGGGTAGATACCTGGTTTGGTTTACAGAGCACTGACAGTACCAATTTAACATTTAATTATCGCTGAGAATTGGATCACAAAGGAGATACCATGCCCATGGGTACAGCGTGTCCAGTGGCTTTGCAAATGGCATGCTACCTGGGAGGAAAGGAATTTGTTTACTCCAGGCTGATCCGGCATCTCGACTGTCCTGACCTTCCTTATCACAATAACTGTAAAGTGATTAATGAAGTTTGAACAGGAGCTTTGGTTACACCAAAAGACAACCGTACACCTCCGAAGTGTTTTAATTAACAGCTAACACTTCAAATTAGTCTGTAGTTGCTACAGTAATTACCCGTTCCAATGATGGAAAACGTTTTTGTTAGATATTATGTAGAACTGTAAGTTGGAATTGATCATTTTGGTTACAGCCAGCACAGCTAAAGCCTGAAGATTTAGTACCTTTATGTAGCTTCACAAGGATGCGCTAAAAAAAAAAAATCCCACAGAATAATGTGCACAGCACGAAGAAAAACACACTTTTTGTGCATAGGGCACCCATCAGGAAGTCTATGGATGTCTACGAGGAGATTAAGCTAATATTCATACTCTATAAGTAATGTGAAGCCTCATCTCAAGGGTCAACTCTCAGAGATTTCAGCGTCACCTCCGAAAGTCAGTAAACAAACTCATCAGATCACTACATGAAGCAAAGCGGCAAAACGCAAAAGGTTCCTCAGCATCGTTGCACATTTCAGTGAACATACACTTCAAAATCCTCCAGGATGGTCGGCAAAGGATGTCGCCTAATAAACAGCTACAACAACAACTCCTCTTGCTGGGAGTGCATTTGAGCAGTGCCTAACAGCAGAGACAAGCGGATGTTAAAGAAGAGTGAAAACAGTCGAAAATAGCTGCTGAACTACTTAAAGACAAATGTAAAGAGCAGAAATTAAAAGTATTGAAATGCAAAATATTCAAGGAAAACACTGTTTCAACATTCACAAAACTTCATTCCTTGCAGAAACCAGCCCTGGGAAAAGACCTTCATTCTTCTGCTCTTTTTTGTTGGGGTTTGGTTTTGGTTTGCTTTTGACCCACTGCAAAAGCTGTAATAGATGACTGAGAACAAGGGGCTATAGATCATTTATTGTTAAGGAGAAATCGAAGGGACAGTACTACATCAGACAGAGCCAACTTCTGCAATCTGAAGTTTAAAAAGTTATTTTGAACACTTGATGCCAGTGTCAACTTAGAAAAGTCATTATTTAAATTTTGTTGCAATTTGCCAACTGCAGGAAGCGGGTTCCTATGTGTGTTTCCCTTTCTCGTCTGTCTCTTAGTTACATTAGCAATTTATAAGACGAATATCATGGCATGGAGTGCTCTTTTTATTCTCTTGAGAGGAAACTCCTAACAGACACCGGGACAAATTACGAATATTCTTATGCAGGGCCTGATTCAGATCCCACTCAAGTTACTTGGAGAATTGCATCTACCATAAATTTGAAGTTTTATTATAAGTGCAAATTGACGGAAATGCTATGCGATTAATAACCACCATAATAACCACTTTCTCCAATACCAAAAATATTTGTAAAATTTACATTTTAAAATAATGACATAACATTTATTAAAATAGTAGAAAAATAAACTCAACAGCCACCAGACAATTCATTTGCAGCCCAATTTCTGCACATAAAGAAAACGTAACTCCAATACCCTGCACCTAACTATTTTTTTTTTTAATTTTATTTTAAAAGAGGCAGTTGTTAGCTATTGTAGCCACAGCATTTTTTCAGGCTGAGATAATGATTAAAGTTATTAAAAAAAGCAAAGCTCAGGAATCCATTTTGCGATATTAGTCTTAAAAGACGATGAATTCTTTTCAAATTCACCAAAGTCTGACTGCAAATAGGTGCTGTGTGTCTGTAAAAAGACTGGATAGTGCAAAAAGTTGTAGGTATTGTAAACCGATCTGTGGTGACATCTTCGAAGCAAACAGTACAGGCTAGCGGTTGAAAACTGCATCTTAGTCTCAGAACATATATGGGAAACAAGAAAATAACTCCTACTCCTTTCCCCCAGAAAATGAAAATTCTTCATGGAAGCAAACCGTTCTTTCTCGATGCTCAGAAGTATATTTTTGTTTCTATGTCCAATACAGCTAAGGGACAAAACCTGCACTCGATCGAGTAACCAATTTGACATTGCTGGATGAGGAGAAAGGTGATGAACAATACAGTAGAAAGGAGTAAATGCAGGCACACCCCTCATACATATTAGCAGTATCTGGTGCAGGGACCAAGTTAGGAGATTGTTAATTAAAACCAAGTTTTAATAACTCGGACTAGTAACTCTACCAACAAAATTTTTATAGGTTTCACAAAAGAAGGAAGAAATCTTCAAGGAGGATAGAGGAAAGAGAGCAGCAACTTTCAGACCTCCTCAGAGAAAAAAAAAAAAAAAATAAAATTCCAGCAACAGAGGCAGCGTGGTAGAAAGCAACGCACAAGCTCCAAGAAAGAGGAGAAAAATGGAGCAAAAAAGCTGGAAGCTGGATAGGGAGGAGGTGAGTTTTGGGGGGGGCTTTCCTTCCCCCCCTGCCCCAGCATACCGTGCTAGTGCGAGATGGAGGAAGCGGCCGACATCTCCTTTTGGGAAGTTCTCCTACTGAACACGCATGGCACGCCACGCGGAGAAGTTGGCTTAAAGCTGCTGCGTGTCGTGTCAGAAAAGGACAGGCAGACTTCAACCACCGCGTATTTTTAAAAATTCCCACTGGGGAAAATAAATTTAAATCTCTTCCTTCACATTCCCACTAGAGTTCATTATTCTGAGCCCCCTACATATATTAGAATGCACAGCTTCTAAGCAAGATGTCATACTTATGTCAAATATTTTATTAACCTTGACTATTAACCATATCCCTAGACACTTAAAGCCCTGAAGGGACTCATGTGAGCCAAGTCCTTTAGCATAACTTTGTCTCCCCTACTCTGAAAATCGAGAGTGCCCCTCAGGGAGTGCTGAAAAGGCAGCCTGCCCAGCTCCGTGGCAAAAGCTGGGTTATTTTGGGGAAAAAGAAAGACGGTGTGAGCAAGCGTGCACTCTGCTTGAACAAAGCCCTCCAGCTAAGCTGGAAAAACTTCTTGCGGAGTACGGCATGTGCATCCCTTGTGTTCCAGAAAACAAAAATCAATATCATAGAAAACTAGAATAGGGCTTTGGGGGAACTGCCAACTCCTCGGCATCTCTCCTCCCATATATAAGAAGTGTTTCTACAGGAAAGCAAATTAAAAACCGAAAGTATCAGAAGCAGCTGGTTTCTGTTTTAAAAGAAAAAAAAAAAAAAAAGAAAAAAAAAATGGTATCTGAATTTCACATTGCCTGCTTTATCCTTCCTGAGGTCTACTGCAAAGAAAACCAGAGGAGAAAAGTAAGATGCTTTAGCTCAAACCTCTTTATGGAATAAACCATAGTCCATTCTA